TAAGCTTTAAGTGAGTTTTGATTTTCTTTTATGGCTTGGATAAAAGAAATGAACACTTATGGAGAGAGCAATTTCCTTCACCTTACCACTTCAAGTGGCTTGAACTGACAGGGTTTAGCCAGGTCCTGCCCCCTGACCAGCAGCAGACCTTGAGCAGACTTTGACTCTCTGACCTGACATTCTGGGACGAAATAGACGGTCCTTGCATTACATTAGAACTACTCTAAGACTTTTTCTTCAAAAGATTAAAAGAAGTGCAAAGCAACAGAATGTGAGCTGATTATCCTGAAACTGTATGTAACATGAATTGTATTGTAAAATATCGTGAAAAAATTATTAATTTTCCTAGAATACACACAAGCATCTCCATTTTCTCGCACATATATGTATATGTGTTTTCCCTCCGTGCTGATGGAAGCGGGCAGGGGAAACTTTGATAAAACGTGTATAAAGAAATATTTAAAATCACCATAAATATTCTACGTAGAAAAAGTAATTCTCGAACAGAAACAGAACTTTATTGCGGCCATCTTCCTAGCGCATTCGACTATGTATGAACTGTGAGTAAATCATAAGATTTTGACATCCATTGGGTTTATCCGTCAACTGTTAACTTACTAACAAACAAATGTCTGTGAGAGAGAGAGAGAGAGTGAGTGAGTGAGTGAAGTGAGTGAGGGAGTGAGTGAGTGAGTGAGTGAGTGAGTGAGTGAGTGAGTGAGTGAGTGAGTGAGTGAGAGAGAGAGAGAGAGAGAGAGAGAGAGAGAGAGAGAGAGAGAGAGAGAGAGAAGAGAGAGAGAGAGAGAGATAGAGAGAGAGACAGACACACACACAGACATACAGAGACAGAGAAAAGTAGACAGAGAGAGAGAGAGAGAGATATAGACAGACTAACAGAGAGATAGATAGACAAACAGGTAGGTAGGCAGTGACACAAACAGATAGAGAGAGGGGGGGGGGGATGTAGGAGTGACAGGCACAAACACAGAGGCCAAGAAAAGGCTGCCTAAATAGCCTGGTAGAGACAGATAGACCAGATACAACATGTTTTACCGCTGAACAGAATTTTATAAACACATCCAGCCAGCAAAAATTCAAGCCCATAGCACACCACCACACAAGAGTAAATGAACAATCACAGCCCACCACACACAACGTGATTCTCAAACACCAAAACACAACGACAAAACTCAACTCCTCTCTATCAGGAATTACACCTTCTCAGTCCCCGGTACGCACCACACACACACACACACACAACGCGCTATCATCGATCACCATACAGCAACCGACACGAGTATACTAGAGTGACTTCAGGCACGAAATTAGACCTGCTACTCACCGTACAATAAACATAACAACAATGCAATATTAGAGTATTTACACTCTTACGCTATTACATACGCAAAAGAAACAGAATATAATAATAATAATGATACGCGTAGGTAATAACTTCACGAAAATTAATATCATCAGCATTATAAATCGCACATCAACATAACATGACATATACACAAAACAACAGATAATAGGAGCAACAAACATTCAGCTGAGCATACGTGGCCTAGAATAAATCGATTACTTCACACATGATCACTACTATATCTGCACTCACACTTTGTCACAACAAAGGCCATTATCACGGCACACACACACGCACACACACGGGCACACGCACACACACAGAAATGCCTCTGGTATATAAACACAGATGAACTAAATGAAAGTGCACTTGAAAAAGGAAAACAAAACAGCAAGTATTCAAAATGGCAAGCCAAGGAAACTGGTAGATACAGTTCCGACATAGTTCACTTTACAGGTGATACAAGACATAACTTCTAATCTTTTATTGTCTCCTTTCCTCTTTCCTTTTTCCCTTACTCTATCCCTCACTATTTTTTTTCTCTTCCTCCTTAATGGTCCAATTTCTTTCTTCAAGACTTATGTGGGTTTCTTCTTGATATGATTTGTTGAAACATTTTTACTGTAGGAGCATGGAAACTGGCAATCAGTTTTATGTACTTATTCTTAAAGAAATAGCATCATGTGCAGTAAAAAAGAGAACATTAACAAGAAACCAGCAGCATTCCTTTAGTAAGCAATGCAGGGACACTGTGTGAGGCAGGGAAGATACATCTCTCTATATGCATTCTGGTCACACCATGATACTTCATTAGCATGTGCTGATGGTATTGCTGTTGAATAAGGCTTGCTCTAAATCATATTTTTATATACAAAATATATATAAAAAATCATGATATTGACTTCTCACAAAGTTTTTACCTTTATACATTTGTATATTTGAAAAATGGGTAAGTAGGGCAGGCATTGGGGCCCACTGGGTTGGCGATTGCTGGGTTGGCAACCACTGGGCTGGCAACCACAATGAAGACAATAAAATAAGCCAGATGTAGCCTGTTCATCTATAACTCTCAATATTCATACTCTGATTATGTAATTACAGTAAATCTGCACTGGAATTGCCAGCCACTGATCTCCATTCCTTTATATTGTGTATCTTTTTTTTCCAGTAGTGGCATAAAAATCATTTACAAAAAGATTAGAAAAGTTCTTAATAAAAAAAATCAAGGAAAGGGGAAATAAAGTCAGGTCACATAGTCCTACAGATATTTTTTTAAATAATAAATATAAAAATAAGTAAAAATCAAACATTTTAAAAATAAAGTGGACAAAAACAAAATAAAATTCCTAACCATTTTCTATTTCTTCATCTTTCTCCTCACTTTATCTACTTCCTTTCTTTATCAAAAAGAGGGCAGTCCCCTTTCACCCTTTCTCCGCAATTCCTCATATTTTCCCTCTCTCTCATTTTTCATCACCATTTCTCTTCAATCCTCAATCTCTCATAATTTTCCCCTCTCCCAACATCCTCCCCATGTCTCTCACCATTTCCCTTCAGCCTTTCTCACTATATCAATCTTTCTCATTCCCCTCACCACTTCTCCTCAATCATCATTTCTTCATAGTTTTCCCCTTCATTCAAGAAAAATCTTTCCCCTCCTTCTCATTATCTTCCTTAACCCTTTTCACATTCAAAGTTAATTTCACCTACTATCTACTCGGAATAAAAATGGTGATACAAAATATGCAATCTTACCTGGAAGGAGCAGAGGAGGGTTTCATCCACAGACATCATTCCTCCTGCATTGTCAAACTCTCCGCAGTAATTTGGTGCTGAGAACAGAGTGACCAACTGTCTCTTGGCGAAGAATTCATAACCATCTTCAACAACCTGTGGGGAAGTGATGATTCTCTCGATATTGCACAATATTTTGTAAATATCATAATCCTTGTTTATCACTCTATTTTATATGTTGGTTTCTTTTTAACCTGGTCAATATGAAAAACACATTAATATGTCAAATTTCATATCTAAACATCAAATGATGTATTTGAAATAATATAAAAAATAAAATCATAACATAAAACTACTATTCACCTGATGTGCTCTGCATATTAAGTCTAAATCATGACGGTTCAAGAATTTACTGACGACATCTGCACCGAAAGTGAAGGATACACCACGGTCATTCTCACCCCAGCCTGAAACATCTTTGTCAGGATCTGACCACAGCAAGTCACAGAGTAGACCTGAAAGAGACATCACTCAGTATCAATACAACTAGAAAAGATTAGTCACAGTAAATTCAGGCTTTATACATAAAGACTCTATCATTGTCGAAAAATAATAGTATAAACCTAATAGAGGCAGCATTATTAATCAATTACTAAGTCCTATTCACTACAGCTACAGTTTAACACATATATTAAATACCATACTATCTGCCAAAATTGTAGCATCATCCTGACCTGTTAAAGTAGGGACCAATTTTCCCACATGTTCTTCACTCTGTATGTGTTGCTAACCAATAAGCCTGTTACTGTCTGGCAAGTTCCCTCCATCCAGACCTATCCCCTTTTTCCCATACTTTGATCTCCTTACAACCCCTCCTATCCCTTAGGCCATCTTACATAAGTGCTTCTTGTCTCTTCTTGGTTTTGAACAATTCTGGTGCTGATGGCATATATCATGATACAAACCCATCTTGCTTCCCTCCATATTTTATATGTGAAGTATACATTACCTCTTGTGGCATGTCCGCAAATCCTCCACATTCCCTCCACAAAATGTAATCTTTCAGTTATATCATCACTTTCAACAATAATGTTTCCTATAATCATATATGTATCTTTACTTGTACAGAAAAGTTAACTGTCACGATTTTTTCAACTTTGGTACTTCTGTGAGGTACATATTTTATATGTGAAGTATACATTACCTCTTGTGGCATGTCCGCAAATGCTATCCCTGGTGGCATGTGTTTAATTACACATGCCGCCAGGGATAGCATGTGCAGACATGCCATTCCCACTGTGTTTAATTCAGTAATTGTTTTTACATATAGATGGCTCCACAAGTACTAGGTCACCTATGAGTCCATTACCAGTGCCTGTCTCACCTGTTTACCCTTTTCCTTGATTTTCAATAATATTTTCTAGTACTTAATACTGTTGTTAGTAATGTCAAAAACAATATAGTAATTACAATGTTGGTAATAGAAATAACAGTATCAATATTAATAGCATCAGTAAAAAAAAAAAAAAAAGAGTGTTTTTCCCACTAACAAATGGAAGGTGAGGTCACAAGGTCTACTAATTGACTCCTTTGTCGCTACGCACTGGCAGACGATTAGCAAAAAAATAAATTAACTAAAAGTGAATACAACATTTTTCCGGGAGCATTGCATTAAG